AAAATGCGCACATATAAATAAAGTCCATTAATGCACAGCTGGTGATCGAACCTACGACGTCAGGTATGAGAGTCGCACGCTGAAGCCACTAATACAACACTGCTCTACAACACAAGAAATGGAAATAATAATTGTTACTAGGGCAATAAATGAGGGTAAACTATCTCTTTTTTGGTGTTAAGTAACGGTTAAAAAAATGTAATTGCTACATTTTTATATAATAAGTTTTTTGTTTCTTACCTGCTCTTGTACTTTTTGGAATATCCAATTAATTAATCAGTGTAATATATTATTGTATTGATATATTTTTAGTTGAAAGTTCTTAATGAGAAATAAAATATCTTAAACCGTAAAAACACTGATGATTATAAACTATTGTTACTATTCAATGGACTATGAAGTTTTCATAATAATAAAAAAAATACGTACCAAGTTTTTATTTCCACATCAGTATATTGTACGCGAGGAATCGGGTGTCCGCTAGGAATTAAAAATGACGTTTAATATCATCATCATAATTATGACGATAAATACACATAGCTAACTTACTATTTATAATTATTTGCAATTGCTGCAAATTGTTCTCTTCTCTTCCGGTAAACAGGATCCTTGAAGCCAGGGTGATCAGCATCCAGCTCGGAGCCATACATCAACACGTTCTGAGCCCGATCTAAGTCCGCAATCTTTCGGGGAAACCAAGGCATTTCACCAAAATCTATAAAACATGTGAACTGATGTTTTATTTAATTTGTTAGTCTGTGGAAAAGACGCTAGTTTCGGCTGTCATTTAAATTTTAATTCGAAGATTTTTTGTTAGAACATCTTCGATTATAAAAGAAGTAGGGTAATTAAAGCGATTATTTTCAAAAAAAATAACAAACTCTAAATGTTGTTTCTTAAAATGGATATTTCAGCTACACATTTGAGTTTCATTTAATATATTTTGAAACAATAAGTCCAATTGTCTGAAATATAAAGCAATTGTATGATGACATTGACAGACACGCGCATGTTGATGCAACTCATGTGTGCGTCAATTGGTTTCAAGAGGCACTAGAAATATCCTGCTAATTTGTCCAGTACAGTAGTTTTATCAGTATCTGTTAGAATAGCACATAGAAATCGTATTTCTTACAATGTAACAGCTAGCCGGGATAGCCTGGCTAATTGATTAAGTTAGCAACACAGGCTTAAGAAAGGAAATATATTTTGTGTACGTTTATTACTACCCTAGCTGCTGGCTTCCTCACAAAATTCACCTTCAGCGTCGAAGCAAGTGATAGATGCGCATATAGAAAGAAAATTCACAGCGCACAGCCGTGATTCGAACGAATGACCTCAGAGTTGAGCTTTTCGTTTATTCGGCTCCTACCAGAAGTAAAAAATAAGGAAGGAGGAAGGAAGGAAGCATAAAGGATCCTCATATTATCTTCAAAAAAGATTACGTATTGAAGCATTTATCATTTAGGATTTGACCACAAACAACAATTTTTCCATGCCCCACGACATACACACGCGAGTATTATGGTGTGTGATGGAAATTATAGGCGCAACCGACTGTAATATGTTTCGATAACTCACCAAATGATGCAGCGGCTGAAAGCGGCGTTGGAAGGGGAAACTCCTCGCCAGTGTTCGACGACACCAATTCAAAATCTTGGACCTCTCTCTTCAACATACGCTTCAGTTGTTCCATTATTCTTGGATCGCATTCTACGTCAACTAATATATCGGACTGTAACAGTGTAAAGTGTATAATTCTAAACTTAAATAGTATAGTATGTGTTGCTATTTTTTTCTTTTTAAAATTAAACACTAAAAAGCAGTTAATAGAGCTGGTATGTAAGATTTAAGCCCAGCCCATAGACACCCATTTTTAGTGGGTGCCTTTGAGGGTGAAGTACACTCGAATTTTGAATAGTTGGAGGTCGTATCTCTCAGGGAAGACCCCCACCGGGAGTCGATTCCACAGTTCGGTAGTTCGCAAAAGAAAATGTCTTGTGAAACGGACTGTGGAAGACTTCCAGCCATCAAGGTGATGTTGATGAAATTAAACGGAATCAAATAAATTTATTCTATGCAATATTCGCAAAAATACGGTACTAAAAAATCATACATAAAAAATCAATTTATAAACATACATCGAAATATAAGTGACGGGACATATTTAATTGATGTATAGACGTTATGGAAACAAGTTAAAACTAAACAATATCTCCGCTTTTCATCGTAATTTTAATCGTAGAAACCAGATTTTCAGGATTTTCTCGAAATTTCCAATGCGAATAAGTTAAATGTGACCTGGGGCCTTAGTCAAGATGCGTTAACAGTAGTGTATGTAGAAAGTCGAAAACTAAATTTGTATGGAAATGACAGTTCGTGTCGAAAAGTTTTCATACAAATTTAGTTTTTGACTTTCTACATACACTACTGTTAAGGCACCTTGACTAAGGCCCCTGAACGTGATAAAAATCGTTTTTTTTAATTCGCAACTATGGAGATATTTGATAGATTTTAATTTACATATTGTTAAGTTGATTTTATGAAAAAATAATTATTTATAATACGAACGAGCTAAACATATTTTCAGTCTTTTTTAATAATGCTAAAGATCTGTGATACCAGGCCTCATACATTGTAACAGGCTTAATTTCAGTTTATTTTTTACATCAGATAAACTTTGCCTTTTTTTATAGAAATGTCAGAAAAACTTTGCACTGCGATGTTTTATTTTAAGAAGTGAGTATATAAAAATTTGTTTGTACTATGTTGCGTCATCAATGCGCCCTCTAACTTTAACAGAAGCCATAAATGTTTTGCCAGGAAACAAATCCTAAACCTTAAAATTTATGCCAAGCGTTAATACCTAATCAAAAAGGATTAGGTCAATTATTAGACAACGTATTTTAATTTAGATATTAGATTTTATTATAAGTCCTGTGGGATTCGCCCCAAGACTTTTTCTTACTGGAACATAAGATAACTTCTTTGCCAATAAAAAATATAATGCAAAAATGATTAATTAATTACTATTCAATTATCTAAACAGTCATTTAGCAATGCGATGAATTCGTGTGCCAATGAGATATTTAATAATAAGAAAATATTTGAATATTTTATTTTACACCAATATTCGCAAATTGCCTGATTAAATAGAATTACAGAAACTTGGTATACTTCAATCTTACTTAAATTATAATAAACTATTAACTATAGGTACGCATGATTTAATAAATGACTTAATTTTAAAGCTTTTATTAATAGCAAATATTAAATATCCACTGTTAATGTTTTAACATACCTTTTAATATTTATTAATATTACAAAATTATATACTTAAAAAGCGCGTAATTTTGATACGAAGCTTCATACAACTTTACAAAACTCAAGGAATTAACACAATAAAAAGAACTTACCGCAGTAACTTCCGTAGCAGACTTTCTCGACTCAATATGAAGTACATTTATCCCCAGGTCTTGGAACACCGTCAGTACTCTTACAAGACCGCCAACTTGATTGTTGATTGTAAATATTACTGAGATTCTTTCACCCTCCAAATTCTGTGGTGGATGAAGTTCACCAAGCTTGGGATGGTGTCCCTCATTCTTAACCTGCCAATCGGAACCGTTTCTATACAGCCAAAGACCAAGTAATCCTTTGCCGGACCCGCTCATGGTTAGTTTGACGAGTAAGGACGCCGGTGATTCACTGCGAGGAGTCCTTTACAGCCTCGGTATATAAAGAGAAGAGGCGCGGGAGCTTTGCAGGAGGGTGGGTATATTTGATTGGCTGAATCAAGTATTTCACCGTAACTTGGAAAATCTTTCACACAGTTAAGTCACGGACACACTTTGCTTGTTATTTTTGATTGTTAGATTTTATTACGCCGATTTAAATCGATAACAATCATTTATACGGGAGAAAAATGAAATTTTGTAGTATTAATATTTATGTACCTAAATCCATATGTATAAATATTAAATATATTTGTTCTATGAGTATACGTTGTTTTAAAGGCCTTTAGTTAAAAAAACGTTCTACAATAAATCGTGTAATATTTGCTTTTATTTCTTCGGCGACTCATACGAAATAAACGGACGTAACAATTATTTATATTTTTTCTTTAATAGCTAAAATATCCTAAGATTAATATAACATACCAAACAGATATGTCAGCTAAAATCGCATTGAGAATAAGTCATATTTTTTGTTAATTAATTTAGAAAATTGTGGTTTGAATTTCGACGTTTACGATGTATAAGGGTGAATCTACTATGTAGTCAACATTACCTTTTGCATTTTGTGCAGCACGCATCTTTTAAAACAAAAGTTGACGATTAAAACGAGTGGCCCAGAGTTTCTTACAAATTCTCGTCCGTTCTCAGTTCAAAACTATCTTTTTTAATTTTCCTATTGACATTGTTTGTACAATGTTCATATTTCCTCAACAACTAAATTATATTTTGATTATGCATTTTAGTCACAGAGTCAAAAATATTCTTTACCAGCTACTGAAAATTCCCCTTGTACTATTTATACAATAGCCACCCGCCTCATGAATTGACGTCTTATAAACCTCGGGTTGCTGTATTTATTACCATTGTTTAGCGGAAAGAGGATCAATGTCATACATTACCGGACGCTCCTTAGCTTCGATGAGAATTCTTTTGAATTAGCTATTCCAACAATAGAGAACCCGGCGCGGATTATTTAATAGTTTGTACTCATGAGATTTTAGTATTAAAAACATAATTTTTGGAAGACGCATTAGTAAAAAAGTCTTTTCTAGGTAATTACATACTGATAGCTGTATCTTGAGAATAATCCAGATACATGCTAAAAATAAAATAAAAATTCTGTGACCAATAATTTTAAATATAATACCAAGTATTTGGTCTGTATTTGACACGTAGGCCTCTTCCAGCTCTCTACATTTATTGCTATCCCTGGTAACTCTAGTTCATAAAGCCCTCGCTATGGTTTGCAGAACCTTCCATTTTCTACGTCTTTTTTTTAACATCTAGGGCTAGGGCTGCCTGGGCTTCAGAAGTGAATCTTCTCCAATTCTCAGGACTTGCAAAAGCATAATCAGGTGCCCCTACCATCGTCATTTGAAATGGCTTATTTTCTATAAAAATATTTTTCATCTTTCTGACTTTGTCTGCTCTAACGTGCTCCTTACCATTCCTCTTTGGCATAAGTTTATGCATACCTATAATTTTACTTGAGTTGTAAGTATGTTTACTTAACTATTTGGTACAAATGAATTTGTATTTACTATATCCGGCGATATTGTAACTTAAATTATCCTATAATAATAGTTAGTTAGATATAAAAACAACATAATATATCTTCATGATGGTATTAATACAATTTCACGGAGTTTCAAGAAAAAATAATAATTAAAAGTAACGAAAATCCTTTAGTTACTGAATTGCACACTTAATCAAAATGCCTGCTCCGCCCTTAGCAATATTAACCGAATATTCCTCTTCTAATTACATTATCTTAATTACAGCCCATATGAAGATGACTATCAAATACCCGACGTCATTCACAACGTTACGTTAGTTAATGCTTCGTTAACGTTAAGAGATCAAATAGAGACTTACAATGACCCGTTCATTCTCTGTGGCTCATTTGTTAAGTCTTAGATTTTAAGGCAATATACTTATAATAGAAATATGAATTAGGTACGGTTAGAGAATCATAATTTAGTGTGCTTATTTAAAATGTTGTTCGAAGAAGTACAGGATAGCAAGTATATACGTATTGGATTATGGGATAACGGGAATGATCAGTAAAACAAGTTAATAATAATGGGCTAGAAGGCTCCGAAGAAGTATTATGTCTTTACAAATAAAATTAGATTAATGGAAAATTTGGTATGAATCGAACCACTAGATCGATATAATGAAATATCAAAGGCACCCAGGATATCATGTGATGGTTTTTTTTATGGGTATGCCGGCAGATGAAATGTCAGTTTGAAAGCATATGTATTATGGGAATTTAAAAAGATTTATCGTAGTAGTAAATATTGTGAAACAAATATATAATATGTGAGTACAACTTCTCAATTATTCTCAAGCAGTGTAATGCAGCTGCTCTTTTAACCATCGGAGAATATTGTATGCCAAGTGCCAACAGCCAGTAACAACATGACTAATTGTCGATGACCTAAAAAATAATATCATCCTCATCTTTAAATTAACATGGACAATCGAGAATGCCTGAGAAGGGCATTATGGCACCGACTAAGGATAGTCAACCATATAATCGAACAACTCATGTCAGTCGTGGAGGGGTTTCCCCCACCGTACGGACTGTTATGGACACCGAACTATTCACATTAAAACTTAAAGTTTCCCAACTCTTTAGAATCAGGAGTCCATGTTAGTTGTTGTTCCGGGGTTATTGATAAGAAATCTAGACGCACAAACGCCATGTAATTATACACGAATACAAATTACACATATGGGACACAACATTATAAACAATATAAGTATTACCAGAGAAATGCTTCGAATCCCCGTATTCCAATAATTCGGACAGATTTTCCATTTCAGTTTAAAAGAGTATAGTTTCGACTGAAATCAGCATTTTCAATTACAATAAAGAAAGTTTTATATTAAAAAAAAAATAACGTTTTGGCCATAACTCGCATAATATTTATGCTTTGGCAATAGATGAATAAACTAAAAATGTACTTTTAAATGCAGTAAAATAATGCCAGTAGTTTATTTATGTGTTTTTGTGAAATTACATATGATAAGCGAAGAATAGAACACTAATGAAAAGAAAAAAGGAGCGTCACAACAATTAAAATTATGCACATTTAAAGTTAGATCCCTGTCATTCAAAACAAGACAATTAGATCTTAACAATGCATTAAGAAAATTCAGGGCAAAAAAATTAGAAATGGAAAAATATCGAGGAGGCTTTTACCCTAAAACCATACAATACTAGACCACAAAAACCATAACTTAATTTTTTTAACTTATCCTAACACAACTAATACTAAAATTAAGAAATATTCACTAATCTATTCTTGTATGGATTCATTAATAAAGCTCTACTAATATTTAATAATGTGTTTTATTTGCGATATAATTAGTCTAAACAATAAAAACGCTACCGAAAGGTAAAGTCACTATTCGCCACGAACGAAGTCGTAGCGAGTTGTAGGTATAAAAACATATTGGCTACTGAAAGTAATTTTTAAGTTATTACTCCCCCTGCTACTAATCCGGTCAAATTAGAATAAAAATAGGGGCGCACTTGGCTGAATATTGGTAGGATTGCTCAATACACTATTATAAAGGAAATGTGAAAAGTCCTCATCGATCCGGCACGTGCAAAAAAATTTACTCCGGATCAAAGATCACAAAAATGGGTCTTTCGCGATTTTCAGCAAAATGGTAAGTTTTATCATAAAATTAGTGTAGACAAAAATTGTAGATCAGATAATTATCTATAAAAAATGTCTGAATACTTTTTTTCCTAAGAGCCACCGATTTTGAGATATCACGATTCAAAAAGTTGAAAGAGTTGACATTTTTTTATAGATAATTATCTGATCTACAATTTTTGTCTACACTAATTTTATGATAAAACTTACCATTTTGCTGAAAATCGCGAAAAACCCATTTTTGTGATCTTTGAACTGGAGTAAATTTTTTTGCACGTGCCGGATCGATGAGGACTTTTCACATTTCCTTTATAATAGTGTATTGAGTAATCCTACCAATATTCAGCCAAGTGCGAATTATTGTAACCTTGGATGTCTAAATTGACCGGACTATACTATAAAAATAATAATAATAGATATATGGATCACATGGTATGTGAAACTATATATCCTGGCAACAATTACAATGGTTTTAAAAACTCAAAGTTCAATATATATAATATAATTAACTCATATTAAGCTCTAGGGACTTTATATAAATAATTAAATCGGTTTATGGGCGGTATTTGATTGTATTATTCGCCGTGAAGCTCTCAATTCAATCAAACTCAATTTCCCAGGAGCAAAGCGCCTATCTAATTTGAATCCATTCATCATGTTTTTCTTTGATTTTCACTTGTTTGTTCTCGTTTACTCTGCTAATAGGGATATAAATGAAAAAGGTTTCTTTGCATATTTTTTAAACGCACTCATTTTATTTATATTACATAAAACTACTAGCGTGCTACTCCTTCAAAGGCTTGCAACGCACCAAATATAGCATGAGTGTCCATATGTAGCCAAATAAAAAAATCATTCAATCAAACAATCACAAAATGAAGAAGTTTCATATTTCTGAAAAGTCAAAGAAACATTCAAATAATTCTACTATTCATTAGTATAGTGCTGGGACTCTGACGGATGTTGACGTTACTCGACGTACTTATAAAACGGGGTGCGGTAATCTCAGATAGGTCAAATGACATCACAGGTAAGAGACCTTGCATACAATAGTTCATGTATTTCTGAATAATTTGTCGAATAAATAATTCAATGATCTAAATTTTGAATGGTGTTGAAGGAATAATTACGTCATAAATTATTGCATTTCCAATCAATACATGAATTGAAGGAAGTTGATTACTTGTGAAGTACTCTTTTATCCCGTCGACGAAGGAAACCGCACGCTTCGAGAGGACAGTCAATAGCCAAAGCCGATATATCAACAAACACTGTAAATACTAGCGGAAGTTTTAATAGAAAACTCAGTTCCATTATTAAAACTCATTTAGTTTCATTAATCTGTATGAACTAAAGTATTGGTATGTCTCTTTTTCTAACATATATCGCTGATACAAACAAATTAGTTGGTAAAATCAATTTTAATTAAGTTTTTCAGCCATTAATTATTTTCTTGGGAGCACAGTTTTGGGTATAGTTTACTTCATAGATTCTATAAAGGACCAAGTTCTAACTAATATTCTAGTGATTAAAACTTAACAAATGTTTTCTTGTTTTTTATTGGTCTCTAATAATGAAAATCTTTCAAAACACGTGGTAGTGTTTATTGAATTTTAAAACAGTACGTTTAAAAGGAAAATAATATTTAAACTCATTTCAAACTCGCATCCGCACCTCGGCGTCGTGAAGTATTAATATTGTTCATCCAGCTTGTTCCTTTTAACCAAATTCAGCGAAGGGCTTGTGGTATTGTCAATCCCCAATGTATTACTGATTGGCTTGATTCTCTCTCTATACGGATATATTGCGTCTCTTTGCGATTTCTACAAAGTGTACTATGGTGAGTGTTCTGAAGAATTGGTTGGGTTGATCCCTCCTGCCTCGTTTCAACACCGTACGAGCCGCATCAATCGAAAATTCCATCAACATCACCTTGATGGCTGGAAATCTTCCACAGTCCGTTTCACAAGGCATTTTCTTTTGTCTTTCCTGACAGATACGACCTCTAACTGTTCAAAATTCGAGTGTACTCCTCCTTCAATTGCCGGATCGCACCCACAAAAAATAGGTGTCCATGCGATGATTGTCCTTAGGCTCGTTTTATGTATAAAAACATAATGTCTAATTTAAATCACGGTTGTGATATGCAGAGCGTGGTAGAGTGTTGTGACTTCTGTATAGTAGTAATTTTGCTTGGTGTAAAAGAAAGCACAATTTAGCATTAATTCAAAATCATGTGAAGCTGTTATACGTGTTTTAATTATTTTAAAATCATTGCAATAAGATTTATTTCTTGAACATTATTTTCTATTACGTATTTTCGTTTAATTATAAAAGGTCGTATCGTTTTTACTGTTTAAATTTAAAATAAATATAGGAAATAATACATGTTCGAAATACATAATTTTATTAAATTTGATGAGGTGATATCAAAAATCTTTTTACTCGGCCGATCCTCGATATGATAAGATTAGTCTTTGTTGAAATTTGCTCGGGTTACATAAGATGCATATATATTATGATGTATAAACTTTTTCTTACTTATAATTGTCAATAGTTACGTCCTCAATTTAGACTTTTATAGTGAGTGTATTGTGCATGTTTGTGAACTATTATTGTAAGGCAAGGTACAGCATCAGTCTAACCTCTCTTTTTCCCAAACTAACAATTTCTCCAAATCCTTACGGCTGACGATATTGTGTGCCTTTCTTCCTGATAACGAGACATTATAACGAGGTATATACTCAGGACTTACTATTTTAGTATGAGTTGTGTATCGACGGCCGCCGAACCGTTCGTGGTACAATACCTATTGCTTAATTTTGAGCGATTTCTTTCTATTGATGGCATTAAGGGATAATTTTTTCGTGCTTTTAATTTAAAATGTTATAATTATCGAAGTATTCGTTATTTAGTTATTGTTTCACCGTTGAACTTCAAACGAGACATTGACATAAGGGAAGTATAGTTCGTGTTAACTCTCTGAATTAGTTAATCCGTGTTATAGTAAGTCCACGACAGCGATATACATTATTTTTACCGTCCAAAAAATTAATGCCTATTTTTTTTTCGTAACATGTCTACTTATACACATGTGTACTCCTCCCTCAAAGGCCGGCAACGCACCCACTAAAAATGCGTGTCTATGGGCTGCGAAGACTGCCCTTTTTGGTCGTCCCGCAAGCTCGTTTGCCCCCCTATTATATAAAAAAAACTTAGAAACAGCTTATAGCAGCTTAGCAGTAAATGCCTGTCACAAATAAGTATTTTTGGATAAACCCATTACGTAAAATATAATGTTATTTTATTACAAATTAAGTTAGTTCTAAATATTTGGATTTCCCGCTGATTCATACATTTTTATTAATGACATCAGATAATATGCGCGCGCAGTCTTGCGTGCGCCGTCATGCGCAGAGCGTATTATTTCCCGGACACCCCTTGCTAAACGCAAAGGTCGATATGAGCCCTTCAATGCGTTTCGCGCATGCGCCACCCTCTGTCTTCAACAATCAGGTGTACCGACATGGCCGACAGCGAATTTGAAGAATTTCGCCGGGTATTTGACAAATTACCGCAACACATAAAGGCCCCAACACCGTTCTATTCGTAAGTTTGCTTTTACATACAATTATTTATCCAAACACCCACCGCAACTTCATTACACTTCCCTTCTACAGATTAGTACCAAATGTTGGACTGGAAGATGATTCGCCGTCTTCTAAAAGTGAGGAGTCGCCAGAAGAGGATAAATTGTGTGTGGCCGACACCGAAGCGATAAATGCAGATGGCTCCCCAATCACACAACCTGATAAAACAGACGCACAACGCAGTCCCCGTCACCAATTTACAAGTGGAGAAAGAAGGAGAAGAAAACTCCCAGAGATACCCAAAAATAGAAAAAGTAAGTTAAATTCGATATTTGATTTTAAGCGATATCTCGGCACATGCGCTCTGCCACTTGTTATTCTAGCGTTTATGATATGTTTTTTAATTCTTTATTGAGCTTTGCGAATACTATGAATAAATTTCCATAATGTAACATGTACAAATATTGTATTGGTTACTGTTTAAAAAACTCATGCTTGACACCAGCCAGTATATGGTGGCTGTAATTTCCTCGTAACAGCGTTACTCTTATCGTCCCAAGATTTGACTGGTGCAATAATCCAATAGTAGTTTTGATTGATATTGTTACATGATAACACGATAAAGGGTTTTAAACTTATTTGTATTTAAATAACAGAAATAATGAAGAATGAAAACAAAGGTAAATGGTAATATGGTTTTGAAAGTAGACAAGAGTATTAAGTAGTTACTCAATTCCATGTTTAGTTAAGAATAACAAATTAGTTGGTGCCTGGTTATTTAGACGGCAACTTAATATAATGTTATGCAAATCTGTATTTTATGTGTCTTGCAGCTTCTGTGGTTGGTGCATCCCAACCGGCATCACTTGCTGATGAGTTAGGAGCATTAACTGGTCTTCTTGTACGACCAGGGGGGCAGGGGCGGCCCCTTTTGGTGCTAAAGTGTGGCTACCTCTTGGACGAAGACTCCAGTCCCGACTCAGAAAGGCTGCAAAGCCTCGGCGATGTAGATAGTGGACACAGCACTGCACATTCGCCGATCGATACTGGACCTAAGAGCCTATCCCCAACGCCGTTACAACAGAACGGTAAGAGTTTTTTCCATGAAAGAAATATTCTTAATATGAAACCACTGTATAACACTTTTGAAATGCAGAAGGTCATAGGTGATTCCCGACAGAACAATAATAACTTCACTTAGTATTTTCCAAGGTCCTGGAAGCCGTTCAAAATTATAAAATCAGTGGCACTACAGCCTGTTTAGATCTGGGTCTCGGATTTCTGCATCTGTTTCATGATGATTTTTCAATATAAAAGGCAAGAAAGTCATCAGCCTCCTGTGACACACGCCGTCGACTTTTTGGGTCTAAGGCAAGCTGGTTTCCTCACGATATTTTTCCCCATTTGAGCGAATGTTATGCGCACATAGAAAGAAAGTCAATTGGTGCACAGCCGGGGTCGAACCTACAACCTCAGGGATGGGAGTCGCAAGCTGAAGCTCCAATATTGCTCAAATTATACTCACCACAATACAATCGTATTAACTAGTAGGAACTATCCGGATCCACGTGCTACTTAAGCCTTAAAATATCTATAAATACTACGGTATAAAGTACATCATTCACAAATAAATAGCTATAAAAAGACGACCTGGAAATCTGTTAAGAGTTATTTTTAGAATAATCAATACGTTCCTTTATTGCGACTTCTGACAGAAATTATTTTTATCCGTTAGTGGTTTCGATGAAATGCGACATGTAACAGTGGATTATTTGAAGTGTTACAATTTATGTTTGAATTTGTCATTCGGATCAACCTTTCAAATTTGGAATAACATAGAGTTTGGCAATAAATCGGGGCATTTAAATTCTTGATAATATTTTTTTTACTTTCTCAAGATAACATGTATTGTAGAGCATTGTCGCCAATAAGCAACTTCAAAAGTTCACTAGTAGACATGAAAAAAGGATAGGAAACGCTTTTTTGCTATCCATCTCTTCCGTCAATCATATACCTCGTTTTAATCATTATTTTCCTCATTATATTGTAATGATGTCTGTCCAATATTGTGGTCTTTAAGTACACAAACCTACACTTATATATATTATATCCCTTATGTCATGATATGTATTAAAGGTGGTGTAGTTCCTACATACCTGTTTTATCTGTGAATGATATTTATTAACATCTTTATACCTTACATTCAATGTATTGAACGCTTCCTTTATCCACTAATATATTAATTCTTATATATTAACATTCTTGATATGTGGATCATAGTGTTTAACAGCAATACAATGCTTAGCCGTTTATCACTTCAATTGCTTCTTTTAATGTGAAGGTTTTGACTCCCTTAGTTGCTTCTCCATTATTAAGAGTTTCCTGTTTTTACGATATGAATTTCAACTGCCATTGCTTTTCTCATCTTACAATATACATTTTATAATAGTTTAAAATGTATACAACATTTTTCTTTCGTATTAATCCAGTTATTTTTATGAAATTTGTTTTCCTTAAAATGTATGCCTCGTTCATTCATTTGTTAAGCAATAGAGATGATAAGGGGAAAATATTCAATAACTATTTAAGAACCGTACTTGAATATTCTTATTTATGGCGTGTATTAATTGATGTTTCAGTGTCACCAACATCAAGTTGCAGCATCAGCGGCATTAACTTCGCCGGCAACGTAAGCACAGTGCCTCATAGCCAACTAGAAATGCTCGAAGCCACACACAGAGGGCTCCACAAGTTCAACCCGCGACATCACGATGAGATAGAAGTGGAAATAGGCGATCCGATTTATGTTCAGAAGGAGGCAGACGACTTATGGTGCGAAGGTAAGTTTTCGTATAGATAAGAGTATAATATGTTTTATAATTTTAAAGAAACGGTCGCGGCAAAGTCGTTAAGAAATTAAGAAATTTTATTACACTTTCACTATTCATTTAATTCTATTATTCAAACCCAAATTGTGACTTGGGCGGAGAGTACTATGATTTTCTATCCTAATTTCCTCTGCCTATATTTTACTTTTGCCAATTTTATTTCTTTTATCTTCTCTTCTGTTCTCTTCAACTTTACTTTTGATTTTTTAGGAGTTAATTTAAGGACAGGTCAACAAGGTATCTTTCCTTCGGCATACGCGGTTGATATGGACTACAGTGATTTTGATCCAGCAAACGCTAAAGCGAAGAGAGAGAGATATTTACTGGGGTATGTTAAAATTAAATTCTTGAGTGAAGTACATTTTGTTGCGCAATGTATTTTAATATAATATATATTCTGTTGCAGCTATATGGGCTCCGTGGAAACACTTGCTCATAAAGGAACTGGTGTTGTTTGTCAGGCAGTAAAAAAAATTGTCGGTGACTCTAATGGAGATATTGGCTCTCAGCCTTGTATTTTAGAAGTTTCGGATCAAGGCCTTCGTATGGTCGACAGATCCAAACCAGATGTAAGTTCTAAATTTACATCGTTTTTATGTCCTTAGTTAATACGTGTTCCAACTTTTATGGATCACCTAGTACTAGTCGTAAATATTACGAATGGTTTCTTTATTGTCAATCATTATTAGTTTTATGTTGTACAGTGGTAAGTGGAACAAGTAGAACATATTAAAGTTTTGCAACAATTTATTACTTACTGTACTTTGATAAAATAGAGTGTTTTCCCAATTTTTAATTATCTTAGAAAATTATATTTTTTTAAAGCACGTGCACGTTAGTGCATGATATAAATTAATGAAAGGTCTAATAGTATACTGTTTTTATTATAAACTGTAAACGATTGCGAACTAAATTATATAAAGTCAACATAGCGCGTGCGTTACATGTCCAAACCTAATCTAAGAACTTATTTTTTTACAGCGGAGTCGAAATACGCCTTGCATCGACTACTTTTACTCACTGAAGAATGTATCGTTCTGCGCGTTCCACCCACGGGACCATCGCTATCTCGGCTTCATCACGAAACATCCCACACTCCAGAGATTTGCATGTCACGTGTTCCGTGGACAGGAGTCTACCAGACCTGTGGCTGAAGCCGTGGGGTAAATTTTTAAATTAAATAATTGGCATTGCTTATAGATTGAATAGGGTTTGTAAAGGTATTAGGATGGCTAGGCTAGATATATATATATAATTTCAAATATTTTATAAGTCATGATGTTTCATTTTGTATATGATATCTTATTTAATATTTTTTTATAAATTTTTTTTTTATTATTTTTTATAATTTAAGTCTGTTTGATAAGTTTGATTTAATTATTCTAGTTTTGTTTATGGTTTACAAGGCATAGAGTACTTCTTGAGAAATGAACAATTTTCTTTGCAGAAATTACTACTTTTCCTTGTCGAATTTTATTGAATACCGGCTTATAGAAGACATTTCTATGAAATTATTTTAAATTAACAGTTTTAATAGAACAGGGGGAAAACAGGCAGGAGGCTCATTTGATGTTAAATGAAACGCCGCCCATGAACACTCAAATGGCCAGAGGGCTCGCCCGTTGCCGGCCTTTAAGGAATTATCGGTCGGTATTTTATTGAAAGCTCTTTTATTAAAATACCCTAAGTCAGATTGGTTCGATAGAAAAACTTCAGTGGATAGCTGGTTTCACATAGTGGTGTGCGGCAAAAATTTACTTAAAAAACGCTCAATTGTGGACCGACGGACGTCGAGGTGATACGGGTGGAATTTCGTATTCTGCCTGGACGTCCAATGATGAAATGCTGAAGGCATTAAGCCGAACAACTCCTCTGAACATTCTCCATGGTAAATGCGGTAGACGATGCAGAGTGACTCATCTCTACGCAACGCCAAGGGATCAAGCCGCTCGGAAAGCGATTGGTCGTCGACGATTCGAACCGCTCTTCGTTAATACGGTCAAGTGGAAGGAGCTGGTACTGGGGAACTTCCGCTCAGAGGTGAAAACAGTTCTCTCTCTCTATGCTTCTTGGAGGCTAATTTAGCTTTTCCCTCCACATTACCGAGAAATTGAACGTCGTTCGATATCTCAACGCCAAGTATTCCCGTGCTGGTCCCGGGTGTTTTTTAGCGGAAAACGCGAAAACTTGTGTCTTGGAGTTAAATTGGACAAGATTTAGTCAACCCCAATCGGTGACTCCGCGTAGCAAGGTTTCGACTTCAGACACAAGTTTACCGTAGTACCGGAACACTAATCGACAACTTCCTAAATACCTGCATGGCCAGTGTAATGTGTATTCCCTGTGCTGACGTCCGCATAGCACTGAATGTTGCTAAGCTTCAATATATCATTGATATGCAGAAGAAACTGGGTCCTTAGCCTTGTTGGACCAGTTACGGGTTTAAGGTCGGAACATGCTCCGTTGATGACGACATTGATGCTCCGATCGGCCAGAAGAGATCCATTCGATTGCTACGAGAGAGCTTTGAAGCAATCGAAGGCTTTCGCTATATCCAAACTAACCGCTAGCGTCTCCCTCTTGGACTCAATTCTCTGCCCACCTATGTATAAGGTATACTAATAGCCATACTGATAATCGCTAATGAGCTGGTGGGCCTCTAGATACCTTAGGAGCTGGCTAGATAATAAAGAGGTTATAATAGCTATTGGGCGATAGTTGAACGGATCAGAGTGATTGCCTTTTTTAGGGATCGTATTGAAGCTTCATTCGGATGTATTGATGTATGACAGCACCCAGCGAGTACACGTACTGGAAAAGGCGCGTTAAACCGGAACCAACTCAGGAGCACAAGTATGCACCACAATTGGGGGGATGCCATCAGGCCCGCTCGACTTATGAATGTCCAAGGAAGATGCTACTTTACGAACAGTACGTTGCCAGAATATGATTTCCGGCATCAAATCATCACATCGCGACATGGTTTATGGCGACCTACCTTGGCCATCCAAAGTTGAGTTGGACGTGAAGAGACCGCCCAAAAATTCCCTTGGACAGCTTGGGCGAGAGACCAGAAGGGTCGAGCTTGTGGCCTTCCCGAAGGGAGAAGGGCTTATCTCTCGCCAAATCTGGCAATGTGCTCACTTTGCCCTAGAAATGTCCTGTTTAAAGGACTTGATGGCAGAGTAATATGCTATTTTTAAGTTCGCTGTTATTGGCATCACGAGATGTCGCTTACGCCCACGTTTTCTAAGCATTCTCGATTTCGACGAGAAGCCGAAAATCTGTCTCTAAACACAATTTGACATAAGGAAAATACGAAAAAGTGCTTTATTTAAGAGTAAAGTTATTATTTGTTAGTAACTATTTTTTTTCATGAACAAGGGGGATAATATAACTATATAAAGCTTAATTATATATAGCTTGCTTATTCAACAGGACTCAAAGTATATCAATAAATAATTAGTTGTCTAATTTCAGGAGAGCATTCCAGAGATTTTACCAGAAGTTCATAGAAACAGCATATCCTATTGAGGATATTTACATTGAATGAGGAGCAAAGCTTTGGAGCTTTAAACGACCATTTAACAAAATTAATTAAAAATATGGCCGTAGCACAGATACATAATTATAAAATCGCAATTAATTAAATTTTTGATTAGATTCTTTTCACCTCAAATATATTTTCTTATAATAATAATAAAAGCCTTTATTGCTTACCAAATACCTACATTTACTTAATTTTATCGTAAGCATAAACATACATTTCAACTATATTTTTTGGTTTTTATAGCACATTAGTTTTCAGCAGCCAGTTGATCAGGTTATCTTATGACTTCTCCAACCTTCCGGCGGATCATCTTCTCACATCTTTATTTGACTCTTGCCCTATTTGGCCTCTTTTCCGTCTCCCATTACTGAGATACTCATGATATGCCCAGGCCAAGTCAATTTAAGTTTCTTTTATTTGTCAATTAGTTCAAAGTACACCAACAACGTAACAAGCATATTAACTCTCTAATTTATATGTAACTAAAACAGCACACTTGGCAGCACCCAGCCTCATCTAACGACTATACCCAATTCCGATAGTCTTATGTCACAAATCGTGGATTAACTCTTTATTGTGATTGGTATTTCTTTCGCCATTACATGTTTTTACAGTTGCAGCCTTATTGTAAATGCACTAATGAGAAAATCACAGTGCTATTACATACATTTTCCACCAACACATTTTCATAGAATCTTCCATACAGAATAAAAATTTGTGCCAAATCACGTGGGTCCTATGAAATAATCTCCAACACATACCGACACAACTTGTATTTTGTTTACGGTGCAACACATCTACAAATATGGATACAGAATTCATTATTTAAGGAATCCTTTTGAATCATCGAGAAAGATCTTTTCCTTCTTTTGTTTGAACTTGTTTTATTTTGGCTTAGCTTTGTAATGTAAATTACTCTTAATGATCCACTGGAATTTTGAAAATTACGAAGTTTATTTGAGCGTGAAGTGATTGGTACTTTGCTACGGCCAATCAGAGATTTTTTGCGGACTTCGCGTGGTATTAATCTGAACTTAAAAAATGATATTAACCTTGGGCCTAAACCAAATATGTTATTTTATTGTAAAATAATTCGAATTTTGGTATCTTGTTTGCAATTTTTTTCCTATTTAATTTTTAACATTTCTTGAATGACTCGCGTATACATCAGTATTATTTTTAAAAAGTAGGGAATTAAGATGGTTATGTCATCTTAATCGACTTTTATATCGTGCCTGACTATTCAGACAGCTTTAATAGTTATTATAAAAAGCATATATACGAAAAAACCCGGTCCGAAAATTGTAATCCAATAAATCTTTCAACTACTAACAAATACACTTATACATTAAAGTTACTTATGTAGATTTTAATATCACTGTCGGTAATAATCCTATATATAATAAAAGACGCAACAATAAAACTTCGTGTCCTGTTTGAAGACTCATCTCGGGACTCTAGGATAATCGAGACTTTTATAATCAACTTATAATAATGCTCCAAACTTTAAGGACACAATTTTTAATGAAGTCATCGAGTGTCAAATTAATAGAATTTTCCAAAATCGTTGCCGATGCTACGTCGCCTTGAAAATATTGTATATAGTTATAATAATATATAAAAACAATAAAATATAATATTCCATACAAAGGGAGCCTTGCTGAGCGCCTTGCTTATCACGATTACGTACGGTTATTAATATGTTTTATTTGGGATACAAATATTTAAAAAAACTAACTCGCTGAAATATCACAATTCTCAAATACTGTGATATGTTGCATAATAAAAAATTATGCACGGGTTTTAATTTTTTACGGCTGCCTGCATTATAATGCGATATTATTTAACAATTTGATTTTGATAAATTTGGCGTATCATTAGATTTATAACTAAACTATTTCTTAAAAACTTTAACTTGATTTTATAAGTGAATTGGTTCAAGGCAGCCTTTTTAATCAACTCTTCTAAAATAAACAACATTACGGTAATAATAAAATTCTATAGATTGATAGATAATATTTTTTTAGACACTTAGAATTATCCTGACACAAATCTATACTATGACACTGTTAAATCTGATCTTGTAAAATAAGATTTGTTTAATATAACGTTTGAAATAGAAAGCAATAAGAATAACTTTTGTATATTTACAGTGAATGTCAATAGCTTTAAAGACTTTTGATAATATGATATAATGTTAATATTAGCTTAGCTAACGCTAGAAAGCTGTTTACAAACTTAGCCACTGCCTACATAATGGAATATACGGGGAGGAATTTTAACACCGCTTGGAAGCACCTAAGAGATTGTCTCTGCACGTTGGCCAGAATTTGCGTAGGGATAATGCACACTTATGAAATAACATCAAAACTACTTTAGTGGAAACACTGATTCAATGAGAAATTAAAAATCTAAATAAAATCTAATTAACAAATATAATATGCCGTGAGAGCCTTTTTCGTAAGGCTCTTAAGGCGGTGCTTTAACAATACACCGACTCTACAAGTTTTCATCCAACCTTAATTAGTATAAATTTTGAAAAACTTCTAAGTATATTGAGTACAGGTTTTATGTATTTACTAACCGCTTAAAAACACCTGTATGTTCTGGTTTACAT